TCTATCTATCTATCTATCTATCTATCTATCTATCTATCTATCTATCTCCTATCTATTCTATCTCTCTCTTTCTATCTATTCTACCTCTCTCTCTATTCTATCTATTCTATCTTTCTCTCCCTCTATCCTATCTATCTCTCTATCTATTCTACCTCTCTTTCTCTATTCCAGGGGTCTCCAACCTTGACAGCTTTAAGACTTGTGGACTTCAATTCCCAGAATTCCTCCTCCAGCCATGTTAGCTCAGGAATTCTGGGAGTTGACGTCCACATGTCTTAAAGTTGTCAAGGTTGGAGACCCCTGGTTTAGGAGGTTGAAAATGGCTTCTCCAACCTTCTGCCTTTTCAGCAGAAGCATCAGCGGTTGGCTTTGGGGAAGACGAGGTCTAAGCAATAGGACTGCAGACACAATGCTGTGAAATTGGCCTCAGAAGCTTGCTCCTCAATATCATTCTTTGCTTATCACTGTACAGGTAGTCCTTGACTTACAATTGAGCCCCAAACCTCTCTTGCTAAGCAACACATTTGTTAACCGAGCTTTGTTTTATTTTACGACCTTTCTTGCCACAGTTGTTAAGAGAATCACTGCCGTTGTTCAGCTAGCAACATGGTTGTTAAGTGAACTTGGCTTCCCCGTTGCCTTTGCTTGGCAGAAGGTCACATAAAGGGGGCCGTGTGACCCCAGGACAGCGCAACCGTCATAAATGTGTCGTTACTTGGAGAGCGTCTAAATTTTGATCACATGATCACGGGGAATACTGCAACAGTTGTAAATGTGAGAAAAATGGCCATAAGTCACTTTTTCAGTGATGTTGTTCCTTAGGACGGTCACTAAGTGAACTATTGTAAGTTGAGGACTACCTGTACTTCTGCAGCAAGCAATTCAAAGGGTGCCCCAAAAAGGGCTGAACCGTGCACGAAATGTGCAAGGACAGAGCATGGATCCAAGGCAACTCTGGTGGTTAGAAATACCTGGAAGCTGATGAGATGTCCAGCAAGAACACCCAACGCCTTGCTGGATTTAGGAGCGGGAGAAAATGAGCTCTGGGCTGGCTCAGGCCTTACTAGGATGTCTTCTCATGAGCCCTTAACTTCTCTGGTGAGCGTCAAAGTCGTCGGAATAGGCACAGGAGGAAGACGCTGCAAGCCAAGGATGTTGAGAGTTGATGGCAGCTGCAACTCGTGGCTCAGAGAGCAGGGAAGCCATGACAAATCCCAATGTTGTGGCCCACAAGTGGCCGGTGGAGTTGGCGGAAGACTCAGACAGTGAGGAGGTTGGGAAGGAACATGGGCCAGTCCTGGAGTCTGGGGAAGGCTCTGATGAGCGCACTGCATCGGAGGCAGAGATGGGGCCAGGGCCGTCCGACAGTTATCAGCTGCCTTGGAAGTCTGAGATCCGTGGGGCAGAAGAACAGCTGGAGCCTGTTCCTGATGTGTGCATGCGCAGAACAGTTACGGAACAAGGGTTGATGCGGGAATAAAGGCACAGGTGGACGGTGAATGGCCCTTCCCACAGGGAATCAAAGGGGAGTGGTGTTTGCAGGAGACAGTTAGTTCAGTTCATTAGAGTGAATATCTGTTCCTGACTTCTTGCCAAGTAATTTCTGCTCCAGCCTGGCATTTGGAAGATATTGGCCTGGCAACTCTTCAAGCCTGATAAAGGTCTGTAGTTGTGAAATCTCACGAAAGACTGTTTGCTGGGACTTTATTTATTTTATTTTAGTCAAATGCTTGCAATATAATAGAAATAAGAATAAACATAAGTTTAAATGCATGAAATAGGAACTAATAATTGGGGACAATAGGACAGGGGCGATAGGCACGATTGTGCGCTTATGCACACCCTTAAAGACTTCTTAGGAATGGGGTGAGGTCAGCAGAGGTTAGTTTGAGGGTAAGGGAGTGCGGGGTTTGAGCAGGTGACAACAGAATCAGGTAGTGAGTTCCAGGCATTGACCACTCTGTTGCTGAAATCGTACTTTCTGCAATCGAGTTTGAAGTGGTTTACCTTGAGTTTGTCTCTGTTGTGTGTTCTTATATTGTTGTGATTGAAGCTGAAGTAGTCATTGACTGGTAGGACATTGTAGCAGATAATTTTGTGTTACACTGAAATCCAACCATAGGCGGCATAGTTCAAGGTTGTCCCAAGCCCAAAATCTCAAGCCTGGTTGTATAGGGTATTCTGTTGCAAACAGAGGAGTGTAGTACTCTTCTTGTAAAATACTTCTGGACTCGCTCAATTGTATTAATATCTGATATACAATGCGGATTCCAGGCAGCAGAGCTGCATTCAAGTATTGGTCTGGCAAAGACTTTGCTGGTGAGGAATTCACTTTAAGGGGCCGTTATCGGGAAGAGGAGCCTGCTTCATGATTTTAGGAAGCCTGCCAGCTGGATCTCAGCAGAACCTGAAGAGACCCAAATCCAGATCCTACACCGAGTGGAATTCAGTTCCCGAGTGCCCTGCCCTGCTCTGGTATCTCTGCCGGCGGCTGCTTGCGGGAGGCTTAAGCCTCTCTCCCGTCTCGAAGGCAACGACTTAAAGGCTTTTCTCTTCAGTGTTTTTTACTTAACATTTACTTGGCGCTAAAAGCTCTTGACCTGGGATTAACAGCTTCAAGGATTTACTTGTTGAGTACGTTGAACTGTCACTAATTTGGGCCCATTTGTTTTCCTCTAAAGGTTTCCTGGGCTTTGTAGGAGCCTGGGAGGAGTTGTACAAGGTGCCTCAACTAGACAGGTGCATTAACAGCTCAGTGGGAAGGAAGTTCTCGCCTCCTCGTCTTATTCTTGCACCTCACATCGCACCTGACCTCAGCGGTGCACACAGCCCAGCTTCTGAGTTCAGGAGTGATTGACGGTTTGGCGTCCCTGGCTGGCTCAAATGGTATTAAACTGTCCCGTAATTGGTACGAGGTTGCCGTCCACATTCGCTCTGGAGAATCTTGCTTGCTTAATGCAGTCAGGTAATTACAGCACCTCCTTGACTCGGGGAGGAGATGATAGAGGAGGAGGAAGAGGAAGAGGCAGAAAACGATGTTCTGAGTGGCTCCACGCATTTTACTGTCATTGATGATTGCATATAATTAAGTAGGCTCCAAGTTTCTGGAGATTCTCAGTCATCCAGGTCAAGAGGCACCTGGACTTTCTGGCATAGTCCGCATTTTGGACAGAGGGGACCGGTGGTTTGAAGGAGGGGCCAAAGAGGCCATCTGTGTCCAAATTGAACACCCCTCCCTCAACGGAGGGGGAGGGGTACAACATTATCTATCTCCGGTCTACAACACAGTCCTTTCAGCGGTCCCAAGAAGGCTCCGCAGCCATTTGCACCACTCAGGTGACCCTGAGGACACGGGTAAACCTCCAGGTGACCGTAATGACTCTCCAAAAAAGGATGCAAAGGACCAGCTGTCTGCAAGGAATATCAATCCTTCCATCCCCCAACATCCAGTCAGAGCCGAAGAAGCTTCTCGGATGAGAAGCGAAACGTCTTCAAAGAAAAAAAAAACAGAAAGTCCTGTTGCCTCTTGAAAAAAAGCACTTTTGGGACAACCATGACCTGGAGGACTGAGAATCTCTACATTTTAGCTAATAAAATTGGGATGAACACCCTTGGAATGGTGTGCAAGTAGGAATGGATTTCCAGAGGAAAAAATTGCAGACTTTAGGAACCGTTTGCACCACTCAGGTGACCCCGAGGACAGAGATAAACCTCCAAGTGGCCTCAACGACCCTCAGAAAGGATACAAAGGACCAGCTGTCCGCAAGGAGTGTCAATCCTTTCATCCTTCACCATCCAGTCAGAGCTGAAGAAGCTTCTTGGATGAGAAGCGAAATGTCTTCAAAGAAAAAACAAGAAAGTCCAGTGGCCTCTTTAAAAAAAAAACACTTTTGGGACAACGAGGCTGTAACCTGAGCAGAAGTTGCTCATACGATTGGATTTGATTGCTTCTTGTACCCTCTATGACTATCATTAAGTGTTGTACTTTATGATTCTCAACTCTTGACGAAGGTATCTTTGCTTTTATGTGCACTGAGAGTATTTACACCAAGACAAATTCCTTGTGTGTCCAATTGCACTTGGCCAATAAAGAATTCTGTTCTGTTCTATTCAAATCATACTAGGAAACAGTCAATATAAATGGTAAGGGTACAAGCAACAAATTTACAGTCATACAGTCACAAGCAGGAGGGGATGTGTGATAAGGAGTGATGAGAAGATTAATAGTAATAGTAGTGCAGAGTTTGTAAATAATTTGACAGTGTTGGGGGAATTATTTGTTTAGCAGAGTGATGGCATTTGGGAAAAAACTGTCCTTGTGTCTAGTTGTGCAGTGCTCTATATAGCGTCGTTTTGAGGGAAGGCATTCAAACAGTTTATTTGCGGGATGTGAGGGGCCTGTAAATATTTTCACAGCCCTCTTTTTGCAGTATACAGGTCCTCCATGGAAGGCAGGTTCGTAGCAATTGTTTTTTCTGCAGCCCTAATTCCTCTCCGGAGTCTGTGTCTGTCCTGTTGGGTTGCAGAACCAAACCAGACAGTGATAGAGGTGCAGATGACAGACTCCATCATTCCTCTGTAGAACTGGATCAGCAGCTCCCTGGGCAGTTTGAGCTTCCTGAGTTGGCGCAGTCCTCAACATATGAGGCAGTCCTCTTATAGGCCGTTGTCAACATAGGAGCACAATTGGGAGCAGATTTTCCACTGCTAAGCAAGGTGGCTGTTCAGTAAGCTGTGCTTGATTTTGGTCACAGCTAATTAAGCAAATCACATGATTGTTAAGCGAATCCGGACTTCCCACATCGACTTGCTTGTTCGAAGCTGGCTGAAAAGGTCCCAAAGTGGCAATCGAGTGCCCCCCCCCACCTCCCAAGATGCCCCAACCATCGTCTCTACATACCAATGATTAATTTTGGATCATGTGACCAAGGGTGTGCTTACAGGGGTCGAAGGCCAGTTGTAGGTCACTTTTTTTCAGGGCCATTATTGTAACTTGGATCAATTGCTAAGTGAATGGTGCTCAGTTGAGGACTCCCAGTATGGAGGGACACACTTCCGGTTCTTGAGTTGTTGAGATCGGAAGGGTTGCAGAAGAGATGCTTTGTCTGACCCAGGTGCTGCTTCAGTGGTATCACAGGTATCTTTGCCCAGCAGGTTAATCCACAGAACAAGGAGAGGGTGAGATGAGATCACCTCTCCTAAAATATGTAAGGCCACACCTAGAGTCCTGCATCCAGTTTTGGTCACCACACTATAAAAAAGATGTTGAGACTCTAGAAAGAGTGCAGAGAAAAGCAACCAGGATGATGAGGGGACTGGAGACTAAAACATACGATGGACGGTTGCAGGAACTGGGCCTGGCTAGTCTAGGGAAGAGAAGGACCAGGGGAGACATCATAGCGGTCTTCCAATATTTGAGGGGCTGCCACAGAAAGAAGGAAGGGGGTCAAGCTGTTTTCCAAAGCACCTGAAGGCCAGACAAGGAATAATGGATGGAAACTGAACAAGGAGAGATTCAACCTGGAAATAAGGAGGAATTTTCTGACAGGGAGAACAATCAACCCATGGAATAGAAGTTGCCTTCACAAGTTGTGGGAGCTTCATCACTGGAGGCTTTCAAGAAGAAACTGGACTGCCATCTGTCAGAAATGGTGGAGGGGCTCCTGCTTGGGGGGGTTGGGGTTGGACTAGATGAGCTACAAGGTCCCTTCCAACTGTTAATCTGTATCTGAATCTGAGAGCTCCTGCCCACAACCTCACAGCTTTAGGCTTTACATTCACCGGGCTTCTGGGTTTTGGGGTGCAGGCGATCCTCTTCAAACACATCCTCGGGGCTACTGAGGCACAGGGAGGAGAGAGGCCTGGTCTCAAGTGCATAATGGCCCATGGCTAAGCCTCCACATTCTGCCGAAGCAGCAGGGGGAATCAAAATTAAAATTTGCCGGTATTAATTAGTGCCGTAAATGGAGGCAATAAATGCCTTTAGGCACTTCATGAATGTTTGAAACGCGAGTTTTTGTTTCTTGCATAATTTACAGGCTATCATGCTACTATTTCTTGGCATTTCATTTGGTTCAACTGTCGCCTTCCTCTGTTTGTTTTTTAACAGCCAGAACGAATTTCCGGAGAACAGTACGGCATCCATTCTGACGTATGGAGTCTGGGAATTTCCTTCATGGAGGTGAGGGTCTTACCTGTTGTGGTTGTTTTCTTTTGTTCCTCCCTCCCCCTCCCCCCCAAAAAATAACACCTTTAATTCTGAACTGCAAATGAAAGAAAGCACAAAAAGGAATCTTTCATCAGCCTTTGGCTGGGAGAAGAACCATCAGGCTGGGTCTCCCAAGACGATGTCCAGGTCTTCAGTCTTAGCTTCTCTTGGTCTCTTCTAAGAAGAGAAAGTATTTGAATGAGGGTTTTGCAGAGGGTTTGCCAAGCCTTAGGCTGCAACTGCTGAGATGTTACAGCTGCAGGGGTGCCTCTATCCCAAGCCACCGAAGGTCGCGGCTATTAAAGACGGCTGGGTCAGGGACCTGAAGTTGATGCTGGAATTTCCTGCTCTGAACAGTTCCAATTTTTGGTTCACCAGGTCAGGGGCCTCCAACCTTGGCACCTTTTCAGTCTGGAGGTGTGCTGTAGATAAACAGTAAAGACTAAAACTAACTGAATAGGAGTTAACTATATAACTAAGATAAACAGTTAGCTATATAACTAAGAGAAACAGTAAATAGTAACATAGCTAACTGTTTCTCTTAGTTATATAGTTAACTGCTATTCAGTTAGTTTTAGTCTTTACTGTTTATCTTAGTTATATTGTTACTTGCTCTTTAGTTAATAGTGGAATTTATAATTCCAGGCGGGAAGTATGCTGTCCAGCCAGGTATAGTTAGCTAGGATGGGAGCGGTCCCCTTAAGGGAATGCATCCTGGTAAATATAGTTAAGGTATCTTGGGAAATGTAGTTCATGTCATGTGGCTACATCTGTAACCCTGATTGGTCACTGAATTGACCCTTGGTGGGTTGGGGGAGGCTCCCCCACTCTTGCCTGAACACAACCTCATGGTAGCATCTCTACCCGCTGATTCTACGACAGTGGGATGAAATATGGGATAGAAAGTTTACTATCATTTACACTATGACTTCAACTGTGCAAAGAATTGGACATTAGTTGCATCTCAACATAACGGTGAGTTACCTTGAGGATACCTAATATAATCCAATAAAAGAAACTTTGTATGGAAGAATTTTTAGAGTTATCTACCTGTCTTTAAATTCAGCAAATGAACCAAAAGACGGAATAGGAGGACTTCAATTCCCAGAATTCCCCAGCCAGCAAAGCTCCAGACTTAAAGTTGCCACAGTTGGAGACCCCTGACCTAGGAAGTAAAAGCTGAAGAGGTTCTTTCCAGTGTATGTTTTATTGGGGAAAAAGACTGCAGTTTTAAAATAGGATACAGTCTTGTTCTCTCTCATGTCGTGATATTCATACATTCTTTGGAACTTATTTATTATTCCCATTCGTTCTTTTCGAGGAACCGATTTCTGAGTTCCCACGTAAAGAATCCTGGTCTGATACTTCTGCTGAGTTATGGATCACAAAATAAATAAATCACAAGGCAGCTTAAATTAAGCCAGGAGCTGGAGAAATTCAACTTCCAACCTGTAGCTGATGATCCCTCCTGAACAAGCAGTGAGGTGTTTTGTGTGCAAATGACAAACGACATCCAAAGGAAAAAAAAAGGCAAATTGGACGGTTGAAAGGATGGCGCTAAGGGTTGACGCTTTAAAATAAGTATATAAAGTTGTATATAAGTATATAAAGACTTTGGAATCTTGCAATTATCTGCAGCTGACACAAAAGAATATATCGATAGAAAAATCAGTCAAGAATGAGAGCAAATGTTTGTATTAATGTAATTGTAACTTATAAGATGCCATGAGCGTTCTTATTCAGCTTCAAGAGGATTGAAACCAGAGTGGGTTTTCCACCCAGAGAATCCGGATAAAGCTCATTCAAAGGTCTCTAATCCCCCCCCTCTTTGCTTCTCTTCTCTGCGCTCTTTCCAGTCCATCCTTTAATTGTGACAAGTAGAACTGGACACAATATCCCATAGTCGGTCTGACCTGTGCAACATAGCACTTCCCTTAGACCAGAGGTCTCCAAACTTGGCAACTTTAAGACTTGTGGACTTCAACTCCCAGAATTCTCCAGCCAGCTATGCTGGGAGTTGAAGTCCACAAGTCTTAAAGTTGCCAAGTTTGGGGACCCCTTCCTTAGATCTTCATGCAGCCCCAGACCACATGGGCTCTTCTGGCAACTGCAGCACGTTGCTAGTGATTGCTTCATCTGTATCTACCAAGATACGCAGAGATTTCTCATCAGTGCAACCGCCAAGTCAGCTACCACTTACAACTCTGTGCACCTGGTTTTTCCTGCCTAAATGCAGAACCTTACATTTCTCACCACCGAAAAGTATTCCGTTGGATAGGGCCCAATGTTCAAGTCTATCGGTACCTTTTGAACCCCGAGCTTTTCTTTTGAGATATTGGCTCCGCTCCCTCCCTCCCTTCCTCCCTCCCCGGCTATGTGTCAATCATAGATTTTATGGGCATCCCTTCCATGCCTTCATCTAAAACATCTCTGAAGATGTTGAAGAGCATTTGAACCTTACCCTCTTTCACTTGGGATATGAAGTCTACTTATGGTCAGCATTCTTTCTTGAAATGTCCTTCTTGAAAGAAATAATACAACAAATATAAGGGGCTTAAATGGGTTTCCTGATTTCTGTTTCTATGAAAAGAGATTATGGAAGAAGGAGAAAAATGAGAACAGGATGTACCCTCTTTGGGGACCCGGTTATGAATCCTGTAATATTGTGCGGGGACTGGCATTTTTATCTCTGTTGCCATAATAGCCTCAACCACTTCTTGTCACAACTCTTTGGGTTGTATTTGAGATTTTGCCATTCCTCTTGTCATCCAGCCGTGGCATTGTTCTGTTCATTTCTTTGCCCCTGTGTTCAGGCTCAGGTTGATAGACCAGAAGTCATCATTTGTGTCCTCACTCATCTTCAAAGATGTGGCTACAGTCCTGAAGGGTTGTGGTCTTAGTGTGGTTTTCTTCAGCGTTTTCTGTCAAGTGCTGGGAAAATCAGGAGATTCAGGCAGTTCAAATGAGTATAAAGATTTATTGCAACTCTACAAGAACCTGAACTACTAACGGTCAAAGGAAATTAGCGGGAGATAAGAAAGGCATTCAAGCTGGGCTGGACTTAGATTTATTGTGGGTGCACAGGGACTCATGAGTGATGACACGTTTGACTCCTCCCTTCGTCACGTTTGACTCCTCGCCTGGTCATCGCTTACATTTTCAACAGTCAAATTTGGTGATTGATTGACATCCCAACAGAAGCAGGACGGCTTTTGCATCTCAGAGGTGGGGTAGAGTTGATGCCCACAACTCTAGAATGGCCTAGAATTGATGCATTACTAGACCAGGTGACGTGACTCCTAACCCTTTTCATTCCACTCCTGTAAACCTTAATCATGCTCTGCTCAACTTTTAACTCTGCATCTCTTTCTGAAAGATAGGAGGTCAGTATTAACTAATTCCATTTAAAGTAGCATTATTTCCTCATTCTTAGTCTAAAGATTTCAAGTAGTTGTTAATTGAACGCATTAGATGGATTTAGGCACATTTCAGTAGTTACGGTATGATTTGTTTTAAATTGCTTTAACTGTTTTCTCTACCACATTTTCAACTTTTCCCAGACTAATAAAAATCATCCTTTTATAACCAACTATCCAAGGAACCATCAGTGATTTGGTGGCTTTAAATCACTCTATTATAAGAGACAGACTAAAAAAAAAATAAGGGTGGCATCCTTTAAAATACTTTTCAAATGAAATGCCTTATAGCTTGAGAGCTGTCCCTTCCTGTGATTTCAGGAGCCCTGAGAACAATGTTTCTCAACTTTGCCAACTAGGAGATGGGTGGGCTTCAGTTCCTAGAATTCTGGGAGTTGAAGTCCACTCACGTTCAAGTTGCCAAAATTGGGAAACACTGTGTCATGCCCCTGTCGGAGCCTGAATCTGCCGGAACTGGTACAGACGGAGATCGAGAGAGCGGCTTCGTTGGCTTGGGAGGAAAATGGGGAGGAGCAGGCCCAGTCAGGCCAGGGCCTTTCAGAATTGGGATGGCTTGTAGGCAGGGAGGAAGTGGGGACAGGATGACCAAGAGAGTCTAAGCGGTGAACCACGAGAGACATAGTACAGGCGATGAGCAAGGGCCTCCCCCTCCTGATCCGAGAGCACGGAGAGTGGAGTGAAGGCGAGAACAGTGCAGACTGCCCCGACTGCTCGGAAGGAGAGCGCCCCGCCCCTCTTCACAAGGCACACCCGGGATCTAAGACTTTAAGGAGGCGCTGTAGGGAGGGGCATTTGTCGGGAACAAATGCTGAATTCCTGGAGCGTTGAGTGCCGACGTTTGAACGCTCCTGGATTCCTTGCGCTCTTTCTGGATTTCTGGATTACTTTCATGCCTCTTTGCTTCCTGGGCTCTTCGACTTGCCCTGCTGGATTTCTTGTTTTGCAGCCGTGGTGCTCTCACAGCATCGGGCTGGACTATTTGCAGCCAGAGGCTACTTGAGGGGTGTGTGTGTGTGTGTGTGTGATATCACTTTGCTCTGGGACTTGCCAGAAACGGGGAGCGTTTTGGGGAAATTTAGAGCAATAAACGGGTGGTTTGAACTGCCAGTTGCCTGTGTTATTTCTGTGCTGTGCCGCCAGGTCATCACATGCTACTTTAGAGGTACTTTTCCTCTGTTCATCAGGATTTTGTCTGCACTTCTCAACTCAGTTCTACCTGATCATGAGAACCCCAGAAACTTTAAAGGGAGGGGAGTGCAGGAAGTGTGGTTGCCCAACAGCGATCCTGCCACTTTAGCTGACCTTGCATCCATTCCTCGAAGGTGTCAGCCCTGTCACGTAAAACGGTGAAAAGACTGGTTGAAACAGAATTGGGATATTGTTCTGACCCAAACCTTGTTCCAAGTCAACAAACACCAAACAGAGATAAAAGCAAAACCTTTGAATGGCTCTCTACGAATTCTGTTAATTCACGGTTAAAAGACTATTAAAACTAATTGTCTCTGATAAGAACAAGCCTTGCCAAGATTGTGCAAG